AAGCTTGGTTTTTTTTTTTTTTTTTTTTTTAATTCCAGGGGGTTTTTTGGATACCATTTTGGCTACAATTATTGAATCTCTGAGGCTAACAGTAATAGGTTTTTTCAGGACACACACCATCCAAATTACTGTTGCAACTAAAAAAATTACAACTTTTCAATGTACTTACAATATTTATTTCTCTTTATCACCACCACAGTTGCAGATCTTGAAGTGAAAACCAGGGAAAAGCTGGAAGCTGCCAAAAAGAAAACTAGTTTTGAAATTGCTGAGCTTAAAGAAAGACTAAAAGCAAGTCGTGAAACCATCAACTGTTTAAAGAATGAAATCAGAAAACTTGAAGAAGATGATCAGTCTAAAGATATGTGACGAGTGTTGACTTGATAAAGATCCTATACTGAAAACGGGAGGACTTCAATCATGGAATTGTATGGGTTCTCTTGAATTCTGCAACTGAGACTATGTGAACTTCACTTGCAAATGATTGAAGTAGGTGGCCATCGACTTCATTAATGGCAGAAAAAGGAAAGAAAGTATCCTTGTTTGGGATACTAAAATCTGTGGGTACTTAATGATTTATTTCAAGTAGAAGGGGTCTTGGAGACCAGACGACTTTTTTTTTTTTTTTTAACTGCATTTGAGCGGTGCATAAAAACTTTGTATTAAGTCTTGTATTAGTTCAGTGTGATTTTACAAAATGCTGGTGTTTACTTTTTTTACTTGTTTTTTCTACGGATTGTTTAGAGATGCATCTTTAAAGCTGAAAATAAAATATGCTTTTTTTTTTGGTCTCTGTCCAGTTGTGGGCTTCAAGAACAATTGTAAATAGCATACCCTGATTTAAGGCAGAGGTTGAAATATAATGGTATGCAAGTTGCTCAAGTCTGGTTACAGTGATTTCTGCATGTCTCGCTGTTGTCAGCAGAGTGAAAAAACTTCCTGAAAACAGGATTTTAAATAACTTGTAGATCTACAGATAAGAGTTACTAGCCCCACGTCTGCTTTAGCACATATAAATGCATCAATTACACAAGTTATACTCAGAAGCAGGAAATTGTTCCTGTCCTGTTTTGTAGAAGTTTGTTTAATATTTGTACCGTACTGCATTTATATATAATTTCTTCATATTTGAAACAATTGATGATTGGCTTTTACCATGGCTTGGTAAAGATTCAGAACTGAAACAGTTTCAACACTCAGTATGTAGACTTAAGTTTTTCATTAAGAAAAATAACTTAAAACTTGGCATGTATAGTTTATGGTATTATATATATACACAGAGGTTGAGGAACAGCTGGTAGCAGTGGTGTCCACACAGATCCTTCCTAGCACTGCAGACTATCCAGATTTTTCTGGCTACCTAACTGGTTTGGTTTATTGATTCAGTAGCCAATTTCCTTTTAAGCAGTAGCTGCAGAAGAATGTGCTAGGCAATTTCAGTACAGTATAATGTGCCATTTTCAGCGCTGTGCCTTGAGAAGAAGACTTGCGTGGGCCACAGTATATTACGCGTTTTAAGGTTGAAAGAACACTTTTCAGTGAAAAGTTAAAAAAATATTCATACAATTTTCTTTTATGATACCTTATTATTCAAAGTGTTTATTTGGCTGCTTTCTTGCCTTTGACGATCATCAGCAGACTTTTAAGGAAAAATGTAATAGTGAGTCCTTCCACGTGTATTTGCTTCTTATAGAGCTATTTCATTTCCTGAGGAGGTTTTTAAGGTCCATTTGTGCATGCTGAAACAAAAATGGGAAAGGGAAGCACAGTTTTGGTGGTACTAGGTTGTATTCAACATCATTATCTTCATATTTGTCAGTTAAAATAATACTAACGTGGAGCAACTCGGAATATTAAATAGGTTCTGCAAGAGCTGTGACTAACAAGAACAGAGCTGCTGCAACAGACTTGAACAGACCAAAAAAGAATGGAGTGGTACCTTTTGAATCCAACGGTTTCATAAGAGCCTGAAGTATTCTTTTTGTTTACATTTTTGGTAACATCCAATAACCAGCCTAGTATTCAACTTTACAGAAGCAGTGACCCTAGCTCCACTGTCAGTAGCCATCAACATGCCAGACCAGTGATGTAATTTTTCTTTGTGGTTAGCGTTTCCCCCTGCCCCCCCGGTTTTTCTTTCAACTTTTTGTATTTTTTTTTCTTCTCCTTTGTGCTCTCTGTAAAAATCATACAAGAGTCATTAGGTTTCCCCATCAACACTAAGGCAGGAAAATAGTGCTAACATCTGTCTGTGCTGAGCAGTTACTGTTGATAGAAAACAGGAAGAATATCTTATTATCGTCTGTGTTTTCATTAGAAAACACTTTCTTCAGATGCTGAGAAAGCAATTGAGCCCTGTATTAGGCAGTAATTAACTTCTGGAAAAAGTTCATGAGAATTAAGTGGTTTAGGATTTTGGCTTGAGAATAAATGTGAAAAAACCCCACCTCCCTGCATTTGACAAGAAAACCTATAGCTACCTTCTCTACGTGCAGCTGCATGGTTCTCAGTTAATAGATAGGTTATGTTTGGACCTACGTGTTCTGCCATTAAAAGAGTTGTTGATGCAAGCACCTGCGATAGCATGTGTACACGGTAAATGTACAATACAGTGTTGACCTTCTAGTGCGTATCATTTTCAAAGTTACTAGAACTGAAATAGAGTGGGGCACCTAGGGACACAGTTGCGTTTGACCTCCATTGCCTTGAAGAAAAAGAAAAACCCAAACACTACACTCCGCTTTATTTTTGGCAGCCCTGCGAAGATGTGATTCCAGACAAATAGTTACAGTTTGTGCTTGCCAGGGGTGCTAACTTAAATGCCAGCTATTTATATTGCTGAGACTGACTTTAGACTGTGGTTTCACCCTGAGTTATAGTTGTGAAACACAGATGTATTGAAATTTGCTTTGCAAAGGAGGGAAAAAAAAAAAATCCCTCGTCGTGCTGATACAGTTTGATGCCACTGAATTGCACAGTAGTTTGTCCAATGGCCTACACTGAGCCTTTAGGCTCCACTCCTCCTTTGGTAGGTAAAGATAAAACACGCTTTATCTCCGTTTATACGCTTACTGTGATCAATCTTACCAATGAGGAATGTTTACTTCAGGCATCAAACATGCAAAACTGGTAGGTAGTGTCATTGCTGCTTCCACTATAAAGACTTGGGGGATTTAAGTATTTTAGCGAAGACACAGTAATCGTCATCACAGTAATTTCAAACACTGACTGCTTACTCACTGACTACCCAGTATTATTTATCGCTAGTCCTTTTTTTACCTAGCTCCGTCTCATAATAACTCACTTCTTTCCTTTGCCTTTGGGTTTGGCACGCTGCAGTTTACAGTTAGACTGTGAAGTTGTAGAAGGCTGCGTCCGGGAGGTTTCTCATCAAAAGTGCCATTATCTGACAGGAGATGTGTAAATACACTTAATTCAGAGATTCACTTGAGAATTTTTGTGGTTAGTAGACGGGACTGGTAGGAACGTTAAGTCACTCTGTTCCTTTTCTTTCTAGACAGATGCTGGTAATAACACCAACCTAAAGACACTTTTGCTGCTTATGCATTTAATCCATATTAAATACATCAGTATTTGCTTGCTTCTTACTGGGAATACAGATTTAAGAGCATTTCAGGTTGTTCTCGGGCATAAGGTTGTTTCCCAAACACCAGGTAGCAGGTATGTCCAAAATATTCTCCAGGCTCAACAGCATTTTAATCACTGGGGGTTTGGCAGATCTGTGATCTCTTCGGTTGATCTCACTTGCTTTGAGACTCGATCATCTGATTAGACAACTTGTATTTGTTCCTATAGAGATGACCAAGTTCTCTCTTGCGTGTTGTGAAACTGTTCAGCAGCCTTGTGAGCAAATCAAATGTGCTGTGCCAGGAAGCAAAAAGAAGCGTGAATGTTTGTTTGCGATTTTTGCTCGTTTGGCAAGGGAAGCAGCTTTCAAAATACAAATCTCTGGGGTTGTTTTGCTTTTTCAGGCTGAGATTTTGTGACAATATGAATGAACAAAACATAACTTAGGTACTTGACTGGACTGCATACTTTGCGTGCACTCAATTGCTTGCACTCAATCGCAGGTGCAAAATGGCAGGGTTTTCCACAAGTAAAAGCAATTACTTTTTTAAAATTAACATTAATAGAGTTAATAAGCTTCTTTGACTACTTACTGCTTAATGAATACTATGAATGAGCCTTTGGCTTCCAAGTATGTCGAAATTTTTTATTTTCCTCAATATGGTAGGGAAGAACAGCTTAACTTAAGTAAGGGGAAAAAGAGAAAATTAGGATGGTAAAAAATAATAGCAACAATGAGAAATTCTTGTTATACATGCATCGTGATGTAATTAGTTGGGATTTATTTGAACATTAATTTATGATACATTTATACTATTTCCGTTTTTAAATGTTTTAAGCTAGAACATGAAGTCATGTAAGTTTCTAGTGAAACAGTCTTACCTATGCAAATAGCTAATACACATCCAAAATTAAAATTTACATTTCAATTTTCAGAGGAAAAACCTCTTGAATGCCTAGTGATTAGGCCATAAAAAGAACTCATTAGCATTGGAATATGCAGTATTTGTCCTACTCCCTCCCTGATAATTACTATACTTTTTAAGGTGTTCACGTGTTAAACGAGTGACTGGCACTTCTTATTCCCACAGTTGTGGAGAATTCTGTACATCAAGACGGAAACAAATTTCAGCTGATCTACTGCCTTCCGCTTTGCGAATACTTTCACCTGAAGTGATCAATAGTTTTCTTCCTCAATGTCTAATTCTGCAATGTCTGGCAAATCTCACATTTTTTCACACTCTACAATTCAGCTTTATTTCAAATAGCATATTTCATTTAACCTCTGATCTAGAATGTTATTAAAATGCATCGTGGAACACGCTTCTAAGCGTCTCAGTGAAACACTGGTATCTTTATTCATAAGATAAGAAACAAGACACGTGGCTAAGAAAGCTCGTCTTCACCTGCTGAATTGATCAGACAATGCACCTCAGTGTAATGCCTCCAAACAAAAGATTTGGAATCATTTCACAGTTAAATCATAGTTTCTAAGCTTGCATCTTTAAGCAGTTGCACATGGGGTAAATACAGGTATTAAGAGTTGGCAAAACCAACAAGGTTTATGCCTCTATGCATGTAAAAAGGGTGACAGCTTTTGGACTTAAAATTTTGAGAATGAATAGTGCTGCAGCACTCTGCTGTTCCATGTGCTGCGTCTGTTGAATGTAGCAGAAACAGGCTGACGCAGTATGTGTATTTTAAAATGGAAAAGCAGTAAAACTTTTCATGGTTTCATTGTCTGAAAAGTGAATTTTAATTAAAGTTTGTTCACAGTCTAATCTGACCCCCTACGGTACTAAATGTTTGCAAGTGCCTTGCCTCTGCATTTGGAGCTGGAAATGCTTAGTACTTCACTAAATAAACCTGATCTTCCATCGTTGTGAAGTCAGTGGGTTTCAGTCAGACCTCTGGTGAATGAAAGTAAGAAATCAGTAAATGAAGAAGCCACATTTTCATACTAGAAGGGCCACTTGAGAAAAGGGCCACTTTAGAAATGTTTTATATTTCATGATAGGTAGACTTCACAGCATTCCTGTATGAGCATTAAGCTAAAGCTTTTGGAAGTCCGATAGATACCTATGCATAAATTTAAACAAACCGTTTTTTCCATTTGTCACCTAGCCACTGCTACTGTATGCCCTCTTGTTGACTTTGCAGTAAAATTATTTTCTTGTAGCGTATTTTGTACATTTGCCCAAAGATATGCCCCTTAGAAGTTCCATCTCTCTCCTCGGTTCTATGCTACAGCTCCTTCACCACTCAACAAGGAGCACTGAAGAGAAATGATCTATAAGACAAAAGCGAAGTATAACTCGTTTTTGCTGCTGCTGTTAATTCCAGAGCTTTATCTGACACTGATGCTGTAGAGTGCCAGCTTCAGAGTCTTACCTAAATCTAAAGGTAGTTTGTGTGACAACTCTGAATACCTTTTCTTATCATCTAACAGCTGTCCACACACA